CTCACATAGTTTAGCTTGCAAGTGAGAAAACAGCTCCTCTACTCAAGTTTAAACTGAAGTGACAAACATGCTGAGTGTAATTCATCATCTTTTTGAAAGTAAAAGTTAATAAATGATTCAATGCTTCTCAGTGCTTCCTCATAACTCTATAAACTCACTGAGATGTCTTTCAGGAGCACACAAAACACATGAAACATAGTTTTAGTCTTCGAGTTACAAAGCCTGATTTTAAACCATCATATATTTTCTTTTGAGTGACAATTATCAGCTTGGATATGTTTTTTTATTTTTTTTCAAAATCAGGATTGGCAGCAGTGATTACTGAAGCTTTGTTTTAAACAGATATTTACCATTTACAGCCCAGTTTGATCTTAAGTGGGCTGAACCAGTATGACTGTTGCGTAATAACCTGCATGGAAATTAAGCCCATGCTACCACATAATCAGTAACATTCATTGTACACTAACCATATAAGGTACCCAGCACACACACTTAAAAGTTAAGAACAAGTGTCCCATCTTCCCATGTGCTTTGGAGTTTGTACATGCTTTGTCTCTAGGGGCCACTGTAGAATTGACGGAGAAGGTCGTATAAGTTCATGCACTGCACTGCCCCTCGAGTGAAAATACCAGGTAATGAAAAACTGCCTAGTGTCTGTGTACATATCTGTGTGTGACACAAGGAAACTTTGTAGACAAGTTGTCTGTATTCTTAAATACTTACAGAGACCAGTTGCTGGATTTTTGCAAGACGACTGTTGTACTATTCATGTCTGATTCTAGCTGCTCGACTGTCCTGGGTCTTCTTCTTTTTGTTTGTTTGTTTCATGGTGCTCTAGATGTTGAAAGGTCTGGACTGCAAACTGCAGGAAGGTGAGTTCAGCATCCAGATGCTATGTTGACCTAAACTGACAGTATTGACGGTGTCTTACCAGATGTGTAAACTGTCAACTCCATAGATAGCTAATACAGATTTAAAGGTTTTATTGATATAATTCCCACAAGAGGAGTATACTGGATTTGGTGGAACACCTGTAAAGGAGCACATAAGGCCTCCCACCTCCCCCACCTGGGTCTCTGATCACAGAACCGTCGTGCTGAGACTTGTAAACACACCCAGAGTGAGAGCAGTGTTGGGTAAGTTACTTTAAAATAGTAACTTAGTTACATTACTAGTTACTTCTCTCAAAAGTAACTCAGTTACTTCAAGTTACTCGTTACTTTCAAAGTAACTAGTTACTAGGGAAAGTAACTTTGGTTTTACTCAGAATTCTCTTGTTAATGTGTTGCTTCCATAACTTTGCCAGTCTTCTAGCTTGCTTACTTGCCACAAGTGCACTGTGCCACCTACCAATAGAAAGGAAAAGATAATGTGCATATTTCCACGAGAGAAATCCCACGCCTGGACCGTCATTGACTGCTGCCATGATTCTAGCCTACGTCACAGCGTCATGTGCGCCTTTTACATCCA